CTGCGGGTTGAAGTTTAAGGGTCCTACTGCTCCGGGAAAACGGGTATACGGTGCCCTACCCCAGCAACAGGGCATATCGCACTCAGTTTGAGTGGGGGGATTAATAGAGGATCATATTATAGATAACTGACCAGATCTAGATTGAAAATACTCGCTTGTGACTGCGATATGTACGACATGCATATCTAAATTGCTATTGTCGACAATTTTACTCTACTTTAACCCCCATAACATGGGCAAAGCCAATTGAAGGAAATTGCAGGTTTCTAAGGCGTATTTGGCTACTGAATAACTGTACAGAACTGTCATGTCCAACGAATAACCTAGCTCGTGTGACTTCACTGCTTCTCACTCGTTCGTGTCCAATTATCGAGTTCTAGCCTGTGAGCTAGAACATCTAGAAATCCTACTAATGGATCTAGCACTAGTTGGCGTGGCTGTGAGAGTGGATCCAGCGCTAGAATTTACACCGGAGCTGAAAATGAATTCCGGTTCACGGAGAGGCAAAAGAGAAAAAACAGCCTTCTCTGCTAGGAAACACGGCTAACCAATGTTCTCGGCCCGACACCTTAGTGAGATTCTAGCGAGCCATCTAGATTCTTACGAGTTTCTAGAGATGCAAGGTGCCTGGTGCTGCTCGAAGGAGGGCATTGAATAAACTGTTTTTAGAGGATACCGATAGCAAACAAAACCAATGACATACAGAACCTACGATGAGGAACGGTGTTCGTCCGAGCGTATGTACGCGATCCCCCGCTGCGCTGCGACAGGAACCCCGCAGACCAATCCCGGTACAAAAAAAAAAAATGAAGACAGAGCACAACCACAACCTCCACAACCACCTCAATTCGTTTGCCAAATCAGATATCACAACCAGCGGCTCGGAAGGCCTCACCAATCTGGCCTCTTCTAAAAATCCACCCCTCTTCTATATATGATACCGAGAAAGTTTAGGTTTATACCCCTCCATTTTGTCTGCAAATTCGTCATTGAGTTTTCTCGTGGAGATGTCTTGCCAAGTCGTGACAAGGGAGATGGAGATCATGATTTCATGGAGCTGGGTATCTGCCGGTTGAATAAGTCTCCCAGGGGACTGGTGCAGTGCATAGCAGTTGACGTTTTGATGGGCCAATGGCTACATAGGAATAACAGCATTGGGGATATCTATCGTAAATCAAGGCTTCTTGATCCCCATTGGAAATCGATGATCCTACTACGCAACAATGTTACTATTATGACATTTGTCGAAAGAAGCAAGCTGTAGCTCGGTGGTGGGGAGCGTATAAAGGTGTCGATCCTTTGGAACTTGCAGCTTCTGAGAAGTAAAATGTTCATCTAAAGTAATGTAGGTACTTGGGTTCATTTACCACCGCGGCTCGAGCGCTTCTACGGAAACCGGTATTAATCCGGTTGTGGTCGGCTATCATGTAGTACCCACCCCCCCGGTATCGACCGGGTAGTTCTGGTTCACCTCTTCACCGCACCTTTGGATTTCCGATTATGTTAAACTGCATTATTTCCATCACACCTGATAGGTTCCTCTTGTTAACCCCTTCGAACTGCGGTCGAGTGATGTGACGTGATCTTGCAGCGGGGACAGAGGCGGAGAGTGCGTCGGAAAGTTTCGATCACAAGCAGCTATCAAAACATGCTTCTAGCGCATCTGTTAGCTGCAGGGCTGAGGCAATGCGTGTGACAACGCAACGCAGCGATTACCTTTCACAAACCACAAAGATTGGAAGTCTACAGGTCGAAAGTGTCGAATGATCACACCGCCGCTGGAGGCGATAAGATAGACCGCCTTGTGCTACCAGTGCCACGACCGGCGTTGTGTGCTTCAAATGCCTTTTTTCTTTTTTCTTTCTTTTTTCCTTTTTCTTCCTTTTTCTGGTCCCTCTTTTTCTTTTCTTTTCCCCTTGGATTGACGTCAGTTGATTATAAGCTTTCCGTTCATTTGGCATGGCGGCTTTCTGTGCGAGCGAACGTGCAGGATCGGGGTTTACCAAAACGTGGGCGCGAATAATATGGTCGGATGTACAATTCACATTCAGTTACCAGTAACAATTGATCTAGAAGCATGGAGAGAACCTCAGGTATGTACAGCGATAGGAATGATCTATGGAAAAAATAGTTATATGGTGCACAGACATTTCGCCATACAATTCCACCCCCTTGTTTTTCCATAGATCATTCCAGTCGCTGTAAGGTTGGATTCACGCAACTGTGTAGATGGGCCATTGAGAATGTCGAGAAATCGACAGCTTGGCGGGACGAACCTCGTGGCCGAACATAACCAGAGGCTCTTCCGGAGACACTACTATTTGTGACATCACATGGCAGGGAAACCAGGGCTTTTGAGTGTTCTAGTATTGCGCGCCCCGAAGCCGCCGAGTGATTCCAGATGATTCCAACCTGGTGAACTACTTCGTGTCGTGGACACTTCACATACCACTGAGATTCAAGACTACAAAAATCACGAAAACATTTCCGGATCACCGTCTATCCGAACAAAGACCATTAGGGCCAATAGGAATAATTTAGATCTTCAATACCTACATAAACACTCAGTTATTTATGCAGGTAGCCGCATGTGTGCCACGTCCGATTATGCAAATTTTTATTTCCTCCGGAGGTTTCGGAGAAGTGGTATATTATTGACTCAGTGGGTGGGTTTACAACATTACAATCTAACCTAACCCTGTTGCGGTTATAAGCGATCTCGAAATATCACTCGATCGAGATTCCGGGAGTCATGAGGATGCTTGCTTACTCATTACTTCGCAAGTTGCCCACGTTGAGACCTCATACACCGTTGCTAAGCGCTTTGAAGAGTCAACGGTTGGGGGCTGTGGATTGTAATAAGGCTTCAGATTAGAGTATTTCCTCATGATCGCAACAAGTTGCCTAGTTTGCTTATCAACTTTACTTGTGATTAGAAATTGATAATGACTAATATTATTGACTCGAATGATCTGACGATGGTAGACGCAATGTACTTCACTTAACAGCAGACCCAAGACTAAATGCGTTTATACGGCAGATGTGGCTGCCCCGCGAGCGGCTGTGGAAACTCAATTTTTCGACTAATTCACCACCTGATCGTATCCGCCGTTGGGGCCCGTTTCGATGGTATCCATCGTTTCGTTTATCTTTCTGCCTACTTCACCTGACCTATCCTGAAGCACATACCTAAATAGTAACCAGATGCCCGTTTCAGTCGCCGGTACCTGGATGTTCCTTCCTGTCCTTGGCAGGGTCGATTATTGGCCTAAATATCCCCATTATATGCGAGAACTTTTCTGGTGACATACAGATAACCTGAATTACGCAAGTTGCAAATCAATAGGGTCCGAGCTGGAGATCTACCTTTACAGAAACCGGGAATCACGAACGAGGCCGCAGCGCAAGCAATGAGCGTCGAAGGTGGAGGCGTTTTTGCGGGGAGATGGCGGTGATGTTAGGCCGGCCAATAGCACGCAGACCGTCTGCCAAGAGGATCGACATATGAGTATTCTCGTGGTTGTGGTTGTGCAAGCCAATGAAGAGCTAGGGATTGTCAAATCCAGGGTATGAGAAGCTCGAGTGCACACCTTTGGACGGAGGAGTCCGTTAACCGGACCGCAGAGTCCGTAGGTACTACTAAATACTATATTACTATATCACAGATATATAACATATATTTTTAAAATTCTACTTGAGTATCTGATAGGATCTGAGGATTTGGCCCTGGTTGGTGGCCTCCACTGGAATACCGAGTGAGTTCTCATGACACAGTCATGCATTCTTTTTGTTTAATTCATTAATTGCATGCAGGCGCGCTACGACGCAACCTCAGAAGGGATAAAATAACTCTAGAAGGTTCTACGTCACCAAATTCGACCCCTTGTCACTTCGGGCGATATCTCCTCTGGGCAAATAGAGGTGATTTTTCGCCTCCATGGATAAGCCCACATCCCGCCGAGCACAAAGGGACCCCTTTATCTTGCATGAAGTATACAAGATATTGTATCAACTGCCCCCCCTCCCCCCCCCCCAAAAAAAAGGATAAACAGCTAGGAGGGGAACGGACTTAACCAGCTTTGGGAAGGGATCAAGACCAATTTCCTTTGCTAATATTCCCGGGCACTTTTTAAAAACACATTTTCGGGTTTCCTGAAATCATGTGGTATGCACTTAACTAGAAAGTTGATCATAGATGACTATAAAGCGAAGGTTTCGAGGATCTTAAACCAACATGTTTCGAAAGCCGAATTCGATCGTTCCCCCAACCTAAACGCCAAAATAAGACTTTTGGCGATGCTGCACCCTTTGCAGATCCTCTTTGATGATTTTATTAGGCATTTTGAGATATCTGGGACCTATGATACCAAAATCTATCGTAATCTCTCCATAACGCCGTTCTTCTCCCGGTATCGATCTTTGTCAGAGTTTATCTGGGTATCACCCGATAAATGGACAAGTAGATGGAGTTGTGGTTGTGGTTTTGAATCATCAATAATGACATACATTGAGAACTATGGTTATCAAGATATTCCTTCTCGTGATATTCGCAACGCGTTTGTGACATTGAGAAGAAGGACTGCGGACGGTGCTGTATCTCTACCTGACGGTGTATCGCTATCACATTTCCAAAAGAATTCCTCATGAAAATAGGAATAACCACGGAGATATTGTATTTATAATAGATTTAATCTCTATAACAGAATACTTTAGTACTTGACTAGAGAAGTTTAATATATACAAGTATTGGCAATTTACATGTGTGTTGGTTTCTCCTATACGGGCCAACCACGAGCTCTTCAGGGTAAATGATTCTTTTTCTTGGGTTGACTTATAGCTAACTATCAAGGCTACATGTATTCAAAGAGAATAGTCTACATATTTACTAAAACTTCCGGCCTCAAATTTTCTCACGATCCAAAGGTCCACCTATTCCGAATTTGCACTGGCGCAAGCCTAGGCTTTAGCTCAAGTATGTCAAAATGTAAACATTATCTTAAGCGCCGTTGGTGCAGGGGTAGCATAGTTGCCTTCCATTGTTATCCTGATCGGGAAGCAGAGTGAGCAACTGGGAAGGGTTCGAGTCCCTTACGGCGCATTCATTTTTTCACCTCTCTGCGTATTTCCCCTCGACTTTTGTGCTCACTTGGCTTTTAAATTTTTATAGATCAAAATACTAGGAGACAAATATTCGGCCGAAGGAAGGAAGGGCCACGGTGGAACTAGGACTAGAAAGCATACCGAACACAGGCCATCTTTATAATTTATCTTATAATCCTGTTGGTTCCAGGCCTACTGTATCTGCGTAGTCTTTTATCTTTTTCTCTTTTATTTTCTTTAAACAAAAAGGACAAGTGAGATAAAACACAGTGGAATATTGAGATTTATCAGCCTTTTTTGAGTGACTGATAGAGACCATTTGATTTTCTCCCGTTTTACCAAAGATCTAGAAACATTAATGAGTTAAATCAAAAAAAAAAAAACCGATCTAGAAACGACGCATTGTATACGTAATGACCACTAGCGTGTACATATATGTGTAGGAGTACCGGCGATATATAAAAACGAAACCCTGTGTTCTATCAGGCATACCGCATAATCGGATATACGCTTGTGATGATATATGCAGGTACGTAGTTGAACGTGTATATATGATTTGAAGAAAAAAAAACCATGTCGCACTCTTCGGAGATCCCTCGTGGGATAGAAAGCAGAGCATTGTGCAGGCGTTCGTCAATGTCATAGCTCTTCTGCGCGCGGTTGCCTCTGACATGACGCTTTGAATTCCATCTATTTTAGTTGTTAGGCGCGATTATGGGGGCAGTTCTCCAGAGCTGCCTGTCGCGTCAGAGGATGGTCATGCCCGTCAGAGAGCGGTCAAAGCTTGTGGAAAACCATCGTGGTATATATATCCCTTCGTTTGTCAGAGCAAAATCGGAGACATATTAGGCCCGCGACGGCGTGGTGATATTCAAAAAAATCTAGATACCTACAGACTGTGGAGACACCTGAAAAAGGTATAGGAGAGGTCACAGAAGGTGACTTCACAACAAAAGGTTCACGGAATGAGGTTTAGGTTTATTACCGAGTAAAAGCTGCTCATTAGCGCCTGGTCGTGAAAACACACGAAGGGATGTATGTCAAGATAGAGTCATCCCTTCGTTCGCGCCCGCGACTCAAATGGAATAGCCGAGTTGATATCCTCTAAGAATGGAACTGTGTTGAGAAAAGAGGTCACAAACTGTGACCTCGGGTCTATAGAGGTTCGCGGAGTGTGCTAGAGACAAAAGCCGCTGAAAGAAGTTAAACACCCCCAATAACGTTTATGGTCAAAACGAACTAAGGGGTATACACATCTAGCGCCTTGGCACAGTCCTCTAAACATAAAACCCACTGATAATCATAAAGTCACGATGCAACAGCCATAACCGAGTGATACGCCATGATCCTTCACCATTTTGTACTTTCGCTCGGTTGAGGAAGCGATTTGGCGGAACTGCCACTGCGGTTGTGGGTCGGTGCTTGTATGATTAGTCCCATACGTATACTAACCCATAGGTTCTATAACGGGATTACGGCACTACACTCCCAGGATACGTATCGGTTCTTGTCGATTTGGATTTGCACACATACATGTAGCTCATGGAGACCAGCTTATGTCCAATGGAATGAGATGAAGACATATGAGCAGCTCTCATTCACAGTACTAGTACGCACCGCCCTTTACCAAACCAGGCCAAAAAGCGCAGAACCTCCACCAACAATTGCCCGCACGGGGGGAGTTCTCAACAAATCAAATGTCACGTAGCCGTCCAGCCAAAATAATACTTACAGTCTACAGTTGCGGCCCTAACCCTGATATACACCAATCACCAATCACGATGCATCAACATCTATAAACACTCTGCACCCTGCGGAACTACCCGCCGCTTGTACGACCCCGGCCCTCGTACTCTCCAAAGCTGCTGTACGATGGTAACACAGTCTCCCCCACCCTCGAATGGGGTTTCCTCTCATGGTGTGCCGGGAACGGACGTATGTCGGCTTCTCGCTGAGCATGAGGAGATTGTTGCTGTTTGCACTCTGCGCTGGGCGGATTCGAGAGCAGAGGTGCAACTAAGCCTTGCCGAGGACTCGGTTAACGTTCCTTAAACGGCGGTGCTAGCTAGCATTCGCTCAATCAGTCAATCAATCAATCCCACACCCCCACCCCCACCACCACCACCACCACCACCACCCCTCAAGACTGGACACATGAAATCTCGAAGGAATGGAGCTGGATGGAGGGCAAAGTGCCCGGGGCCCCTTGACTGCGGCTGAAATACCTGTACCACCACAACACCCTATTTTCCGAGTGCCTAACAGATAGCACCTTCTAAGCCCCGCATTATTGTGTGAGCGCCTGGCTAGGCTGATGTGGATTATTATTATTCTAACTGGTGGGTCTTTTTCTTCTTTTTTCTTTTCTTTTTCCCTCTCTCTCTTTCTCCCTTCTCCTCATTTTTTCCGTCTTTGAGCTCTTCCGTCGCTGCCGTCCTCGTCGTTTGTGAGAGATCTTGCACCTGTATTGTGTTGTGGAAGTGTGGTTTCATTCTCACAGAGGAACCTGGGTGGTCGCGTACTTATCATATCAGCCTACATACCTACATACCTGTGCTCAGCTTATCACATTCGTGCCTAGGTTGAATAGAGCCAGTAACACACAGCAGTATCCATTCCATCTCTTCGATATCGAACGACACCCCTTCTTTCTCTATCTTTCGACTCCAATTTCCCGTCGCAAGATGATCTTCACCGATCCGCAGTATCCCGCCGCGGTAGTGGACCCAGTGTATCAAGCAAACCAAGCAAACCAGGCGAACCAGCAGCAGCAACAACAGCAAGGATTCTCAAGTACACCTCGCCCATATGGAGGGCCAGCAGAGATACCGCAGCCTCCGGTGGTGCCCCAGGGTTGGGTGGCGTACTGGGATCAGGGACAGCAGAAGTACTATTTCCATAATACAGAGACGGGAGTGGTGTCGTGGGAACATCGTGAGTAGTGATTTATCTGACTCTCTACTCTATATCTTCATGCTTTCTTATACGGATGAGGCGAGGGGTGAATGACTGCCTATACGATGGGGTTCTCTCTGGAGGAAGATCTGTATTTCTTACTATGATTCTTGCTTGAGCTCTCAAATGAATATTGAATTTATGAACATATCTGATATCCCATGATTGTAATTGTCACAGCCCAGCCAAACCAGGCGCTCCCAACGCCCCCAGCAAGCTCAATTGGCATGTACTCCCAACAACAACAGCAGCAGCCCATATATGGCCAGCGCGGAATCATAGCACCCGCAATGAGTCCACAGAATCAATATCAACAACCACAGCAGCAGCACCAGCAACAGCACCAGCAGCAGCACCAGCAACAGCAGCATCACCACCAGCACCAGCAACAGCAACAGCCCCAGGGCCAGAACCAGCAACAATGGTCCCAACAGCATCAGAGACAAATCAGCCAAACCCCAGTCCCTCAACACAACTATACGCAGCAACAGCAACAGCCTACATACGGCCCCATTCACACGCCCGTCTCACCTCTCAGCACACATCGCAGACCCATAAGTCTTCGTTCAGCAACAGCTACACCGCACCCGTTCGGTTATGCTGAGGTCGCCGGCAGCGAGGTCCCACCGCAGGCTGCTACTACCCCACAGCAACAACCAAAGTTCGAAACTGGGCTAATGCTTTCCTCCGAGCGCGAAGAGGAGCCTCCAAAGCTCTCAGCAACATTCACAAGCTTCATGGACGAAGACCGGATGTTTACGGACATCACTGTCTCTAGCGGTATAAGTGCGCCCCCGGCATCTCAATCCCACGAGACGCAGAATGCCCGAATACCCGCTATGTCGCCGCCGCCGCAATTGACGGCAACCTCCCAGGTCCAGAATGTGCAGCACCCTATGCCACAGGTACCACCAGGGCCGAAGAATGTGCCGTTTTTGATGCATGCTCGGAGCCCGAGCCAGTCTTCGGTGATCTCGACGGCTTCGATGACGCAGGCACCGCTGGAGTATGGCGGTATGAGGTCTGCTACTCCGGGTGCTACTTATGGGAACCTGAACGTTATCAAGCCGAGGAAAGCTGTTCCACAGGGTGCAAGTGCGGGCCCTACTTATCTTAACCAGACTCCACAACCGGGGAATATGAATACACAGCAGCAGCATCATTTAGCCCAACAGCAGCACCCAGTTCAACAGCAGTATCAGGTGCAACAAAACCAAATACAGCAACAGCCTGTGCAGCAGTATCAGAGTCAGCAACAGCAGGCACCGCAGCAACAGATGTATCAGCAACAGGTACCTCAACAACAGGTGCCTCAACAACAGGTACCTCAGCAACAAGTACAGCAACAACATACGCTCCAAAATAGGCAATCCATGCCCGTATTCACGAATCAGCAGGCTACCACTCCACTCCCAAGATCATCCACCAACCTTCAATACCGGCCGTTAACCCTTGAATCCACAATTAATCCCCATAAAACAGTGACAACAACTAGATCAACTCATTCAACCTCGATTCTGCGACCCAGAAAAACACCAAAGCAAGACACAGTTTCTGCTGGTGCTATGAAGGCTGCGGAGGGCTTCAGTACTATGGCGAAGGCTGGCGCTATAGCCGCCAGGAAGGCTTTTGAGGAGAAAGGCAACTTCCTTATTCCAAAGGCAAAGAAGAAGCCTGCTCCGACCAAAGTTCAACAGCAACCTCGGCCTCAACCTCAACTTCAATCACAGCCACAGTTTCAGTATGAAACTCAGCCGGCTCCGATCCAGCAAGCTCCAATTCAACAAATCCAACACCAACAAGCCCCAGCGCAGCTGCAGTCTTCCGGAATGATGGGTAGCGGTACAAGAGGCATGGCACGAGGCAGAGGTCCCATGGCGATTGCTGCAAGGGGCCGCGGCATTGCCACTAGAGGGGCCATTACTGTGACTACAAGAGGTGGTAGCACGGTCAATAGAGCGGGCAGCGGCATGGTAGCAGTAAGGGGCGGCGCCACGGCCACAGGAAGAGGTGGTATAGTCGTTGGAAGGGGGGGCACCAGAG